TCGACCAAATTATTTTTCTTATATTCCCTTAATTTCTTGATAATTCGTCTTCATATTGATTCAGTCAAGTCTTTCTTTCAATGATCAATTTTGAAATATCGATGTGTCACAGAGAATTAATTTCATTTTTTTTGCAGCTACTTGTCAGTATTCATTGTGAATTTTTAACGTGACAAGTTTTGAAAACGAGCTTCACAGTATTTTGTGAAACGCCAAGTGAATTTTTCGCTAACTAGAATCTTTCATACACATTTTTTCTCAAACTTTATGTTTGTTTTAGTCTTGTTATCTCGAATAAGCGACTAAAAACTACTAAAATAGAGGAAGATGAAATGCTAGTCAGCTTTGATGTAAACAGTCTCTATACGAAAATACCCATTCAAATGGCCATGAATGCACGGAAAGAGAAACTAAAAGAAGATAATGGCCTAAAAGATAGAACACAGTTATCCGTAGAAGAGATAATAAAAGGGGTGGAACTTTGTCTGACAACAACATATTTCACATTCGAAGGGAAAATATACCAACAAAATGAAGGAGTAGCCATGGGATCGCCTATCTCACCCATAATAGCTGACATATTCATGGATTATTGGGAAGAGAATGCCCTTAAACCATTCAGGTCATCACTAAAATGTTGGTGGAGATATGTAGACGACACACTAGTAATAGTGAAAAAAAAACGATATTGAGAAACTCTTCTCACACATAAACAGCCATGTCGACTCAATAAAATTCACTATGGAAGTAGAGAATGAAATTGGGGAACTGCCTATGTTAGATTGCAAAATACAAAGAATAACAGATGGTAGCATTAAAAGGACGCTATTTGGAAAAACCACACACTCTGGAAGATTCCTCGATTATCACTCAGCTCATCCACTCACGGTGAAACGAGGATTAATACAAGGTCTTGCAGATAGAATACGTATACTTACAACAACGCCAGAGGACCAGTGTAAAGAAATAAACGTCCTATTCAAAATGCTACTCGAAAACAACTACCCAAAAGAATTTATAAGAGATAATATAAAAAAGAGAAAAAAGAGGGTAAAAACGGAGAATAACAAGATGGAAGAATGCAAAAAACAGTCACAATACCATATAAAAATGGTACATCGGAGGCAATTCAAAGAAACCTCAAAAATATCGGCATTCGCACTACTTTTAAACCGACAAATCTAATCAAAAATAAAATAAATAAACTGAAAGATCCCATAAAAATGATGGATAAAAACAACTTGATTTACAAAATATCTTGTGCTGACTGTCCGACTAAATATGTGGGGCAAACTTCCAGATCACTCAAAATAAGAGTGAATGAACATAAACGCCTAACCAAAGGTCAACCAACAGGAACACAAGCCTACAAGAATCTTGAAAAATATTCATCGATAGCTGCACATGCATGGGACAAAAACCACAATATCGGTTGGGACAATGTGTGTATTCTAAAATCTAACATGAACAAATGGAAAGAAAGACTTATAACAGAATCGATATTCATTAAAGTCACACCGGATACATGTAACAAGGGTGACTCAGTACAACTATCAACAACTTGGAATATAATTCTGGATACAAAAACATGAATGAACGTGGAACATAACTCAAATACAAAAAAAATGTGAATGAGCAAAAATAATGAACTATATATATGAGTACAAATCATAAATGTGTGAATCAAACAATTCCAACAGTGGTGTGAACACGGGCAGTAATTTCGCTCGAAATATTACCAATAACAAAACTTATCATTGTGTGTAAAATATTAAAATATAACTATACTTTATTTGAACACTCAATAAACTTGATGCTACAGACTAATTTCATCTCTGTTTCACAATGCAACACAAAAGCAACAAGCCTTTTTGATTTAGGAATAAAGCTTTTGGTTGACTCATTTTTATATTTTGCGTCTCATCGAAGGTTTGTTTGATGATGGTAGTGATTCGCATACGTCTACAGATCTTAGAAATTGACGGGGAAAATAGCATGTGCTTGAGCATTGCTCAGAGAAGTTAAGTTGTATCAACTCCTTAGATGTTCTTCATCGTATGTTGGCCAACAAGCGATTCAGTTACTCAAAAGATAGAGAAGAGAGGTGCTTATACACTTCATACACTTATCCCAGTTATTAAACTTGTTGTAAGCAATTGAAAAGTAATTCATGGAATAATTAAAAGTGACCACATGTTATCCTGCTACATTTGTTGTGCTTACTTTGTTCACGTTATTTATAAGCCACATTTGCATAGGTGTGTCAATTAAATTACACGATGTCAAAGGGAGGTGAGTGCTCATCAAATGTCTTCTTCAGGGTAGCTCTATATAACGAGCTGGAAAAGTTAGAATTCAGGGTTCCCTGAATTCAAGCCCAAGTGGATGAATGGTCAGTTAGGGAGGGCTTCACCTCATAACCTTAAGGCCATGGGTTCAAGGTCTGGCAAGGAGAAGTCATGGATGCGCACTGCCAAGGAGTCCCAGGATAGGTGGAAACCGCTTTCCAGTTCTCCCAGTTGCTTCTCAACGATCTCCTTAATTTTAGTTGATATTCTATTTGCTATTATGTCTTTATTATTATTATTTAAGCATCTTTAATGAACTGTAGTTCCATTGATCTTACTTTACTCTGTTTCAGTTATTTCGTTATTCAATGTTCAGTCAGCTTCCATTTTTAAAATGCTGTACATCAATATGTGTAGAAAAATGTTGGTTTTTTTAATAACGATTTCTTAATGCAGACATACTTATCTGCTGTAAGTATTGTTGCGCATAGTATTGCGCGCAGTAGAATTTTCCAGATATCCTTGGCAGGTGTTTAATCATTCCTCTTGCACGTGTTCTTAGTCGACTCTATAAATAAAGATACCTTTATCAATCTCTCCTCCTACTCTGTTGTACTGAGTTTTAACACTGACATATTATCTCATCCTATTATATGGTTGAGTCTAAATGCATGCAGTAATATAGCTTATTAGAGTCAACTAATCTACATTTTGCTAAATTTGTGTGCTCCGCTAGTCTGATTAACCCCATTATACTACTTTGACCCATGTTTTGACATGGGGCATTGAATGAAATAAGTTGTTTTGTTTAATTGGCCCCACAGGATCATTTGACCGACAGTCTGTTTCAAAGGGAGTTTGTGAGTTTGAATATCACTTTTATTCCTGTCTTGTTAAGAATTCGACATAAGGTTTCCGAGGTTCCTTACTTGTAGCGAAGATCTACTCATTATTTATTTTCCCTATTGTTGGTGTTGTTATCATTCAGTTCATCTTTGTCATACATTTTATCATTATTAATTTTATTTTTACATTTTCTTACATGCTTCCTGATTAATTTATCATAGTAATTACGAAAATTTAAACCCTCTTTTATTTGCCTTACCCCTTGTATTACGTCTTATTTCGTTTTCCTGCTCAGTTAATTAAACATTTCACAAATCCTATTTTAACTGAAATAGGGTGGGATGAACCGAAGTTCAAACATGGGTTGAAATGTGTGGGTTTTTTGTAAATACGCTAGTGTTTTACTTCCTATCTCCTTTCATTTTTATCTTGCAATCTAACACTGGAAGCTCCTCATCCTGTTTCAATGTGTGATATACCTAATAAACAAATAAATATGGAATTGCATAATTCCACCCCGCCCATATTTTACACAACTGTTAATTTTTTCGTAGCCTTGGTGTCAACTTAGAACCGATAAATTAATGCCTCACCACACTGAATAATACGTGACTAAAAGAGACTCACAGTGAAGGTGACTGATTAATAATCATAGAAAGCTTTTCACTAAAGTGTTATTCTGAAAATACATTTGCCTAAATATTGCTGTGAAATAAGCTTATCTGTCTTACTGAGAATTATTTTTGACAAATCTGTGACTTAATGTAAAACTGTTTCAAAATTTCACCGCCTCACACATGCCATTTCAAGCTCCGTTAGAAGACGTTTAAAGAAATCGAAGATGAATATACCCTTATAATCAATTTGATGCATATTGTGAAAGCTGAATGCTTGACGCTCCAAATAAATTAAAATTTTAATGAACGAAATGGCTACTCTGAACGTTTCATCATAAAATCTATGAAACCTAAACCACTAAGACTACCCATGCTTTCTGCTCCTAAAAGACGTCTCTGACTCGATTGGGACTCATCAGTGGAGATACAGAGAAACCGACTGTCCCACTCATTGAAGTATACCTCATTCGTGGCTGGGTTTTGGCTAGCTTTCCTCGCAAAACCAATTATTCGCGTGAGTGTGAAGGATAAGCTATCATTGATGGCATCATAAATGTGTGTCTATCAATTCACCTGTCCCATTTGTATGATCAAACACTCATACTTCATGGGATTTATTGTAAAAAGTATGAAAGAAAAGTCTCCGTCACCAAAAATCGCAACAGTGTTTAAGAAAACTTTGCTTTTTAACCTATAAATCGAAGGTGACACTGAAGCGAAAATTCTTAGACACAGACGTTCTAAATGTTTAGAGAAGGCATTTCAAGCAGCCACCTTATGTGTCACACTCTCGATCAGATGATTAATCCATATTAACTTTAAGGATGAGATATCGCTTTTTGCCACCTCAGTGAGTGTTTTCCAGTTTACTTGTTCTTGTGGAGCAAAGTATATTGACCGCACGCGGCATCAAGTCAGAAAACGTGTTCTGGAACACTGTCCAGCCTGGCTAGCCAGAGGAACGCCTTGTCAAATTCAGGCACCGAGGACTCCCGCATGAATGCTTCACACTGATACACAAAGTACCTCAATACAATACGAAAGGACTTCAAATACGCCATCTATACATAGCTGAATCAATGGTTATTTGAGATCTGAAGCCTGACCTCTGCTTTTTTATCTGATGATCCTGTTTATTAAACTCTGCAATTTTATTAATTTGACCCTTGACCAGAAATAGTTCTAAACTTTTCGTTTTCTCTTCCTGAATAATAGAAAATAATGAAAATGAAGTGAAGCAATCAGAGAAATAAATAGTTGTATTTTCTTTCTTTATTAAATCCTTCTTTCTGTTTAACACAGTCAGCTTTGGAGACAAACATTTCACAGTTTAAAATAATTATAATCTTCACATGTGCAAATCTATTCTATAACAGTCTCGCTTATATTATATATCCTTCGTTATCAATACAATGAGACATTTGAAAGATATAAACTGTTTACAGATTGAAACAATGTCGTTTTCGAAATTTACGTTTTTTTTGTAACAAGTTATCGTGTTTTAAAATAAGCAGACAGATAGGTCAACATTTCAGTGTTGAAGGGGAATGTGGTATTCAGAGTTTTAGCATTTGAGTAGGCTAATTCATAGGAGTGCTACTGGAGAAACACGAAACCATGAACGATACACATTCGGAATTCATAGAAACGTGTTGGAATTTAGGATAACACATTCAAGGTGTTCAATATATTGTCATTTAACTTCAGAAACTTGCTAAATGCAATCCGATGGCCAGGAGATTTCAAACACAAAAGCTTTAAAGACTCCCACAGTGAGATATTAGGTAAAGGGGTAGAAAAGACAAGAAGAAGAAGGAAGAATAGAAGGATAATAATTTGTTTGGTTTTTCTACATTCAATGTTAGAAATTATCACTGAATAATTCAGAAAGCAGCTTATTTGTTGAAAGAAAAATGAATATAAGAAAGTGAATTGCTGATGTGAATGAACTAAAGTCAGCGCGATTGTCTATGGACAGCAGATTTTCAGTGATAGTATTGTGATCAGTTGTTTATTTTGTAAATACAGCTTAACTGTTAGTTTTGTATGTATTAGAACTATTTTTTTCTGAAAGAGAAAGTCGATCATGGTGACAATGTTGACAGACTAGACAGCGGCTTTCAGTGTTGAATTCCAGAGTGAACGTTGACAACTGCATTAGTCTGACACAAAAGAAAAAAAGATAGAAAAAAAATAATATAATCATTAAAACTCCATATGCTGTTAGTAATTAAAGCATGAAGAAATGATATCAGCATAAGTAGTCAACAGAAGGCTGAATGCCACAGTGGCTAGAACCGTTTATCAGACAATATGCTCCTTGGTTAACCAAAAGTCAACAGATACTCTCCTCATGTTAACTCTTACTGTGTATACAGAATACCTCGAAACATTTAGAAGGACTGTTTCTAAGAATTTCTGCTTCATTGTCACTTTCGATTTACTGGTTCATAAAGAAAGTTTTCTTAAGAACAGCTGCGAATTTTGTGGACGAAGGATTTTCCTTCATGCTTTTTCGATAAATCCCGGTGGATACCCATTCTCCAGTAGGGTTTCACATAATGAATGTAATTCATCCTCCGTTATGTCTTCCGAACAGAATTTTCAAACTCTTGAACATCATAGAAGCAAGAGACAAGCAAAATTACACTATATTAAAGGGGAGTTCGGGTTAAGGACGAAGATTACGCAATCAAATGAAAGAGAAAGATTAAAGGCATCCAGTAAGGAAAGACCGATAACTATACCCTTCTGAACACATAGAAATCGGGTCTCAGGTGTTTGATGGCCATTGCTTCCGCAAACCTCAGTGAGGAGAGCTGAACTACTTTTTTCGATTGATAATTTTAAAGAATTTCATGATTTCCACCTCTGATAACCCGAAGTGATCACTGGTCTGGCAATGACACAATTGTCAGCGTTTGTTCCCTTGATATGTAAACAGTGTTGGTTTGTAGGGATTTGATTGGTTACAGGATTTCATCATGAGGCGACATTAGTTAGAGAACCATTGGAAAACCTGGAAGTACTGGATAGCTGTTTCGTCCTAGTTTGGGACTCTTCAGTAGTACGCACCCACCGGGATTCGAACCCAGGTCCTTCTGGTTACATTGAATATCAATGAGATGCTCGCTAGCAACTTTCTCTATTCAGGTAGGTAGTTACTTGGGGTTTTAGTGAGAATTCGTGACCAGTAGGGTGCAGCAGGTCGGGTGTGAGGCCAAATACTCGCCGAAGACATTGGCTAGGGGTCGCGCTTTGTCATTAATTGGCAGAAGTTAGAATTCATGGGCCATTGGATTGGGTCCCAGTGGCTTAATGATATCTGAGCCGCCTTGTAACCACAATGTCCTGGGTTCGAACCCTGTCCGTGGGTGCGTTCTGCTGAAGAGTTTCAAACTAGGACGAAACAACTGCTCAGTAATCCCAGGTTTTGGTACATGTTTAGAAAATTGGAGGCATGCCCTTCTTTCTGTTCTCCCAGTGTAACTGCTACCATAGATATATATTTTTTCTTAACAGTTGAAAAACACTTCGATTGATTAGAGACGAAGACTGAGTAGACTGAATAATACACAAAGACAGATAAAGACTAATCTTTATTGATATTTGATACATCGTTGACTTCATCTATTCTCAATGTACGCAGCAAATAATGGCATGGAAATTTGTTTAGCTTAATTGTCTTCCTTTCATCTAGAGAGAATAAAATATATATACATACATATATTTCATACACTTTATAATTTTATCCAGTTCATTTAAGTGAATGAGATTAAGAATAGTAGGCTAAATTGGACTATGTGAAGGTAATTAAATGTTGAACTAAATTTTCGCCTCTAGCCGTTTATCCGCTTAGGTGAGATTTGATTTGAGGTAAAACTAGCTGACTAACTAACTAATTAACTAACACATGAATTTCTTTCTGCTTGAGTGTTACTAACAAAAGGGTCATTCGAACGTTATTTGGAGTGAAGATCATGATTTTGGAATAGAGCCATTACAAAAACAATTATTCATTTAGAACATACTATTCACAAACAAACAAAAAGTGTGTGACTGGATAAAGAATGGAACTGATTGCAGTTCTGGTGAGAAGGCATCACCAGTGGGATTCACCAAGTCATCTGTGAGGACAAAAACTTGTTGATGACGTTGGCCAGAAAATACATTGCACTGGCCAAGGCACTATACCCGAACTCATGTAGCCAGGTGAGGGCTTATGGTGAGTTTTCATCTGAAGGGATGTCCACTATCCCCATTTTTATTCAATTTCACCGTAGATGTACTAATGGACTTAACCCTAACTCACTTCAGAGACTCAGCGACTGACTTGTTACCAGGGAATAATTTCATTGCCTTAGAATATACAGATGATATAGTCCTCTCTCCTAGGTGAAGACGCTGACAAAATGCAGTCTTCTGAACACCTTGAGCTCCAACCTACGAATTTTTGGGATGCGATTCGCTCCCGACAAATGTAAGATGATGTTACGGGACTGGACTACATTGACTCCTAGCTTAGAAACAGGGAGTGAAGTGGTAAAGTGTGCTGACCACTTCACTTATTTGGGAAGTTGTACCAGACAGCACCAGCGGGTTGATCACCGACGAAATCTTAGCACGGATACAGGGGGCTAGTTTCGCATATGCCAGTTTACACCGTCTCTGGAGCATACGTGATTCCCGGCCATCAATCGAAGGGCGAGGGTACTGCTCATCAATCCTCTCCGTCCTCCTTTATGGCTGGCTGTGAGACCTGGTCATGGGAAGTAGAAGACATGAAAAGCCTGGCTAGCTGGTTGTGTTTGATCATAGGTGCCTGCATTCTATCTCCCGTGTAAATGGTATAATAGGGTGAGCAATATTGAAGTTAGGCGTTGATTGCTAGGTAAGGAGGGGAAATCAATGAACGAGGCTGTGAAGCTACATCGACTGAGATGGTTAGGACATGTGTTACGTATGCCTAGTCATCGCCTTCCTCGCCGGCAATGCTAGTTGACATAGGATTGATTAGGTTGATAAAGAGCTAGCAGCGGTCAAACCAAAACATGGCACCAGTTAATGAAATCCACAACAGTTAGTTTAAGCTATGTAGGAAGGTGTAGACTTCCTGGTTGGGGTCCTCGGGACAGTAAAAACCAATGGCTGGAAACAATCGGTGATATGGCTCAAAATCGTTCTCAATGGCTGGCGCAGATGCATCTACTCCTTGTAACTTATAATACCCAATGAAACTACACTGTTCTTCGTTATTACTTTTCCTTTTGTCTCATATCCTTGTCTATTGTCTCTATTTCTCATTTCTTCGGCTTTCTTCTCTTGCTTTGAGACTTGAACTGCTGCACATCGGTGCAAAGTTCTATGTCGAAAACAGACAGACAGATGACGTTGGCCAGTGATCGCGCTAAAATCACGAAAAGGTTGGAATTCATGAGCGACTGGATCGGATCCTAGTGTCTTAATGACATACACGTTCGAATTGCAACCAGAAGACTTTAAATTCGAACATTGGCTGTATGTAGGTAGGTACTTCTGAAGAGTTTTGGGCTGAGACGAAACGTCTGTCCAGCACTCCATGGTTTTCCAATGATTCTTCAACTGATTTCAGCTGGCGATCAAACTTCTTACAGATTGCTACATAATGATTAAATGCTATCCACATTGTAACTTTTACTAACTGTGGAATTATGAAACACTCTCATAGCGATTGAGAAATACCTATTATGTAATAACTATTGGATGATTTACGTTGCGGTCATTCTTGAATACACTAGTTAAAAAAGACAGTTTATTTTTTGATTCCGCTTTTCACAATTACCTCATTTAGAAATTGCTTGATCCCGGCTTTTTATAGCAGCTTTAAGTGAACTCTGAAATGTGACTGTATATAGGGTTTTAAGTCTGAGGTGTAAGTAAAGTCGGTTCAGTTACTTTCAGGAACCTGAATTACTGTAGGAGCTACAACTCACTCAACCTTAATAACGATGGGAAGTTATTCCTGACTGGTAAACTGTAGATTCCTCTGAATATTACCCAACTGTACCTATTATTACATGCGAATGTAGTCCACAGTGTGGAAAAAATGACTGGATAATGTAAATGACATAAGAATGCGCTATCTGAATACAATTTCTGAAGTTTATTCAGAGTTGAATCTTTAGCTTAATCATTACCACATTGGTAGGATAACAGTAGTGGAATGACAACTGAAGCTGTCTCATACCTCTCATTGCCACCCACTACGGTCATCTCTCTGATGTTCATTTACCAAGTATTTTAGAAATACTACTTGCATTTCAGTATTTGCAAATTTAATTTTGATAGCCATATTTTTTTTCGAGCTAATACGAATTTACCTGAGGAAATATATGTAACCAAAAAATAAACCTTAAACAAACTATTTGCTTCGTATAAACATATCAAATTTGAGTGAAGGATTGTTATGGAGCTTGAGCTAAAATTAATGAACATTATTTTACGCTTTTTTTATACCTTCACGTTCCCAGTGGGACATAGGGCTTCAAGCTTGTGGCTTGAAGTTTCTGTAGCAGTGTTTATTTTACAGGATGGGGTTGCTAGCCTCATGCTCAACCTTTCCTCTTCAGCAACTTTGGTTCTGGCTTAGAGAGGTGAAGGAGTGCGCCGGCCGGGGATCGAACCCCGGACCATGTGCATGGTCGGCGAGCGTCCTAACCGCCGTGCCACCGACACTTTTTGTTTAATCCTGTGTAAATCCTTGATCTTGTAGACACTACCCATATAACCAAATCATTCAATGCACAGAGGCCTGTGTACTGTCTGCTTCCAGCTGGGCTTTCATTCATATCACCCACAAGGATTTTAATATCGCTATCTGGTTTTGGTCTCATCATTTACCGTCTGCAGTTGGCTGTAGAAATCTTCTTTCTTCTATTGTTCTGAGTTGTTCGTAGTCACGCAGCATTGGATAATTGTAATTTTTCCTTCCTTTTGAATTGAATCTTGCTGTCATCATCCTGTAGAAGGAGATTAGTTCCCGCTTCATAAGAGTTTTAGATGCTGTCGGTGACATTATGAAAGCCCCTCCCTCACTGTGATCATGGTTACTGTCTGGGTGGCCAGAGTAGATTACTGACTCGCCTTCATTTAACGCTTTGGATAGTCCACATTCATTCCACTTGTTGTCACAGATTCTTATATCTCCCCGTTTCTTTGTCTATCTGAGCAGCCTTTGCAGCTTTCTACAGTGTTTATTTCTGCCTTCATCGAAAGAAGACACAAAGGCTGACTGGCTAGCTTCACGAAGGTTTTCACCAGCCCACATAATTCTGTCTCTTTGATTCTACTGAAGAATGAGTTTGCCTTCATATATTTTCGTTGTGCTTGGAAGTTTCTGTAGCGATTCTATTGATTTTCCTCGGGGGTAGGATCGCTGTCTCAAAGCTCAACCTTCCTTCTTTCCTTGGGCTCAGCACCTGCTGGAAAAATACTGAGCTAGTAAACTAGGTGAGGTTCTTTGTGTAATCGAAAAATTTTAAATTCTTGAAAAGCGCACAACCGATAAAAATGCATAGTAATACCTACTTACTTGAAACTGTAAAATATTTGATAAAGAAATCCAGTCAAATTCTACGGAGATTGTCACATGTATATATTTGTTTAATTGCAATATTCTTATATATTTTCTCGATATGGTTTTCACAGTAATTAAGTATAATTAATTGTTTCTATTGTTACAATTGTGTCTGGCAAATTTTATTAATTTTGCTGCCACTGTATTCTTTAATTGTAGTGTTGTAGTGTGGTACATTTACCATCAATGTGATGCTGATAGTGTTGACAATGAAAATTCACTTGTATGTAGTGTGTAATAGAGATGAGCTATTCGGTAAGGATGATATGTAATTCTGTTTACCTGTCCCCGGTATATACAGGATACTGTCCAAAATGAGATAATTGAGCAGATTGATTCAGTGACTGTTTGTCATTTCTATTAGTCATTGCATCAACAATAGGTTCAATGCTGGTTGTTGAATTTATTGGAAGTGCTGAAAAAGCAATTAACGGGATATTTGGTATAAAAGAATAAGCACTGTTAGCCTCCATGTTGGGAAGTGTAACTTGTTTTAAATTTAAAAATTGTTGTTGGTGTTGGTGTTGCTGTTGTTGTTGTGCGTCGCGTATAGTTAAATTTTCACGTGTTTGTAAGGCAATAGGATTAGCTGGGATACTTCGAAATAAAGGCGGTTTGTAATTATGAATGCCTTCGATAATTGGGAAGGCAGGTTGAGAGTCAGTGAACTGTCCATTTGTATTATTATTATTATTGTTGTTGTTATTTGGAATGATACTGAAATCGGAATTGTCTAGACAATAACTAAAAGGCAAATAAGAAAAGTAACAGTCATTGAAAGTGGCGCTCTTCGGGATTAAAAATAAAAACATCTTGATAGCTGTGAATTAGAAAACTTGTAATGGGTATCTTTTTGTTTTATGTGATTTAAGACATTAATGCTACAGTATCGTATTCGTTCTGTAGTGTGATCCTTCAATTATCGAGAGAGTTTAAAGCATTTGTTAATTCAAATCGATGAACTTGTAAGAGGGTTATTAAATTGGCAAAGGTATCAGTTGTTTCAAGTCTTCTTAAACGAGCACACTCTTTGATAACGAATGAGAAGGGAAAAGAAGAAGAAATATCAAACACTACTGGAATTCTCAAGAAAAATAACTACTCAGAGAACTGCATTAACAAAATCAACAATAGAATTAAATATGGTCAGAAACGTGCTCCGAAGACATTGACCTCAACAGTTGTCATTCCATATAGATCAAAAACGTCAGACGATATCGGAACGGTACTCAATAAGCGAAACACCAGAGTTTTCTTCAAAATATCAGACAAACTACAAAGCAACCTTTTCCATGTAAAAGATCAAATTCCAGAGGATTCTCAATCTATTTGTATCTATAAAATAAAATGCTTGGAATATGATGCAATGCACGCTGGACATACATCGCGAGGAATTAAGGTCAGAAGAAATGAAGCCCGTAGATCATCTGTTCCACCAGTGAGAAATCAGGCTGAACCAGAAAAGCTTGAAAAATTGTCAACCACGCTATAGAAACAGGTCACAAAATCGAATTTGCCAATTTTGAAATAATTCAGAAAAAGCATTTCAGAAATCACAATTAATGTCTTATATCAGAAGTACTTCATATCAAATGGAATCTAAATTGGCTGAATAGGAATAATGGACTCAAACAGAATTTGACCTGGTTACAACACATCCCCACCCCCATGAAGTGACAAAATCAACACGAATGTCAAAAAAAAAAACAATTTCATTATGTAGACACATGGATAAATTGAGATTTTGTAAATTCTGCTTTAATAAGCTATTAGTATTAAATAGAGGAACGTCAGTAACAACAATATCGTTTTGTTTTTCTCTCACTGGGAAATACAAAAACGTTTATATTAATGAATATCATATACCCAATGCCAACATTTTTTTCACACTGTTAAAGGTGAATTTGGTTTAGATATATGTATGCCTCTGTTTCTCATAGAACAGAATGCGCGTGTCTTGATTTGAAAAAATTATATTGTGTCGACGACCACTGGTTCATTAAATACACTAATTCAGCTTGGGCGTCGGTGGCATAGCGGTTAGGACGCTCGCCGACCATGCACATGGTAAGAGGTTCGATCCCCGGCTGACACACTCCTTTACCTCACTAAGCCAGAAATAATGCTGGTGAAGAGGAAAGGTTGGGCATGAGGCTAACAACCCCATCCTGTAAAATAAACACTGCTACAGAAACTTCAAGCCACTAGCTTGAAGCCCTGTGTTCCACTGGAAACGTGATGGAAAAAAATATTTAAAAAATTCAGCTTGGTGAAAAGATATAAGTTTTCGTTGAATGACTACTTGGTCAGTTAAAATTTAGAGCGATTCTTGATAGTTATCAGGTGGAGTGAAGTCGTAGACCTAGGTTTCGTGCTTGTTGGCACTCATCAGTCACCATGGCCTGTCTGCAATCATGAAGGAACTTACATGCCTCCTGAGGTTCGACCCCATGTCACCGAGTGTTACATTCAGCGACGTCACCATTGAGCTACTTGAGCTCGTGGTTGATCTCCTGTAGGATTGTTTTATAAACTTTGATTGGACACTTGGTGGCATGTAGCTAGTGTTATGCATCTGGTTCTCGAGTGAATTCTATCAGTCATGTTTACATTATGGCCACCATCTTAAGTCTCGATAAAAAAAAGTCTACTTTTCAATTTCGTATCTCTTTATAGCCAAATTATGTACTCCTTATCTTCAAATCACCGTTTGCACAGATCTTCCGTGTTGTGCTTATTCTGGCCATTATAATCTGTTTCTTTGTGTTCCTTTTATGTCTCCCACGTATTCCCACACATCCGTATCATTTGCTTTCTCTGACATCAAATCTATCTCCTTGCTATTTCATGTTTTTATGCCAATTAACATCTCTTTATATATATGTATATATAGTACTGATAAATCCTATTAGTAGCAAACGCCACACCATGTATTCTCCACTTGCTTCTGTATTGATTAACTGTCATATATTAGGCCTGGAAAATAGCACTTAAAAGAGAATAAACGACAAGTTTTTGGCGTAGAAACTGTATGCAAAGGCCACCTAACTAAGACTCAAAGCTGGATACATATAAGACTTAGGAGAGTTTTTTCTCGTTAGCCTTGCTCATCGTGCTCGACGAAACTTGCGTACCTATTGTTTAGCAGACAAAACAAATAAGTTCTTCTTAAAATACCCCCGGGCAACAACAGCCATCCAGTAAGGTTTAACGACTGAATTTAATTTGTATCTCAATTTCGAAGAACACTGCATAAATAAGTTCGAGCCTTGAAGGCTAGTTGTCTTCTGATGTTCTGCAGAGAAGAATACTAAAGTATTTAAAATCATTTTCTTTCTATCAGCTTTAAAAGTGGTATTCTCCACTCAGTGTTCTTCGCCAATATAAGGAAGAAGGCTTCGCAGTTTACCACTTTGATCCCTGTATACCAAACCCATAGCGTTTGAAGAATCTTATATATATGCACGTTATTTACTCGAGAACATATTAGTGTAAATAAGTGTTCGGTGGACTTGAAAAAGGCTATAATTAAACATTCAGTTAAAACGGATCAAGGTTTCACCATTGAATAGATGTTCAAAGCGAACTAGAAACTGAAAATAAATTTCAGGAAATTAAGAAATCTACTAATTATTTGCAGTGAAGAAGCTCTTGCTTTATGTATGGATGAAGGAACTGGAAATGAGTTTTCGAGCCCTTATTTGTATCTTAGTCCTAGTTGTCTGTTTGAAAGTCTCAGCACTTCTTTCCACGTTCATATTCTTTGTGTATTTTTACAGTGAGTCAATAGTCTGACATAATCTTCGTTCTGTTTACATTTGATTGGTTGGAGGATTTCATCATGAGGCGACATCAGTTAGAGAACCATTGGAAAACCAGCTGGGAGTACTAGATAACTGTTTTGTCCTACTTTGAGACTCTTTATCGGTATGCATCCGCCGACAGGGTTTGAAGCCAGAACCTTCTAGTTACAAGGCAAGCTTGTAAACTGTTAAACCACTGGGACCCGATCCAATGGCCAGTCCGTGAATTCTAACTTTTGATGTGGTTGTGTTCTATGAGCTGGATAGTTGATTTGCGAAGCATTCATCACCCTACTACGTGACATCTTCAGCGCATACTTCAATTTCAAGTGAGCTTTTAGAAAGAAGGATATCTCATGAACGTCTTCCAAAAGAATGGATATCCAAGGAATTTCATCAAAAGACATATACCCCAGGCCAACCTATTAAACCAAAATCCCCCAAGGAAAGCAGAAAGAAAGTCTCCCTACCATATATAAAGGACATCTCAGAAATCACTACAAGGAATTGACGTCTCACACAAACCAACAAAATCACTTCACTCAATTCTGTGTCCACCAAAAAACTCAACAGCGAAAAAGATAAAATCAACATCACATACAAAATAAATTGTAACAACTGCGAAAAACACTACATTGGCTAAAGTGGACGTCCACGAACATAAGCTAACCATCAAAAGACATGACAACCGCTCCCTCATATCGTCTCACTGCATACAGACAACCATGGACATCAATTCGATTGGGACAATGTTCAAATATTAGACAGAGGAAACAACAAGAATGCTAGAGAATGGTTTTAGAAGCCTGTCTGGTATTTCAGTGAATCATCAATCAATAGACACATCGAAATAGACAAAATTTATCAACCGATAAGAAAGAAACCTCACACACACAAAGGGTCAAAGTTCAAGTCAAAGAAACAATCATTTCCAATACAAGTAGCCTAGACGGCATGAAAACACACAAAAACAACCAATCACCTCCATGATCACCGGGAGAGGTGATTAATAAACTCGTGGATAAATCTAAAAGCTCACTTGCACAAATTGAAGTATGCGCTGAAGATGTCACCTAGTAGGGCGATGAAAGCTTCTCAAATCAACTATCCAGCTCAGAGAACACAACCACATCAAAATCATCCATCTGAGATGTAAATCTCCATCATATCTAATTCTAACTTTTGCCAATTCATGACACTTCTCTGTTGATTTAACCGTATTTTTCCTACCCTGCAACTCTGTATCTAACCTTTTATTGATTATGCCTTCAATGCCCTTTTTCGATTTCTGTATTCACTTCTTGATAGACTTGTGATACTCTTTTGTTGTATTTCAAGCAAAAATTAGATTTTTCGCTTAATCTGAAGTTGTTGCTACACTTTGCAGCTAGATATAGATGCAGAGAAAAAGGTCCAGGGTTCGAACCCCACTGTGGTGGGTGCGTACTGCTCATGATTCCCAAACTAGGATGAAACAGCTGCCTGTTTGTTCAGTAGTCCAATGCTGGTTTCCAATGGTTCGCTAACTGATATCAGTCCGTGCGTAGTCAAACTCATAAAAATAAATTTAATCCTTACAGACCAACTCTTGAAAATAAAATTGTGATTTTTCATCTATTGAGGAAGAGAGATATCTTATCCGCCTTTCAGGTTTTGTGTAAGGAGACAAAATTGGATGAACTGTATTCACGGCATAATCAGTTACAAATGACACAAAATGGAAACTGATGATTTAACATAAGTTTAGAAGAGTATTCGAGGAGAATTTTTAGTTGATTCAACAAACAATAAACACTTATGGACCAGAAGTATACAGGAAAAACGATTATGTGGCACTAAACGAATAAGCATTTGAAAGTCATTCAAAATCAGTTATGTGGGTTAAGGCCAGTGATTTTGAAAAAAGATCGTAATAGAAATAGTAATCAGAATGGTGGTAAA